TTTCTACTGAGCCTCTAATCTCTCAGAACCCAACACACCCCTCCATCCCCACCTCACTGTGTGTCCATCGAACTCACCGGGGGGCGTTCGATTTGAACACCAGCTTAGCCCTCTTTGTGTCTTTCTGCTTCCTGCTTTAGGATAAACTCCCCCTCTTAGCCTTTCCCTTTTTCATCCTCAGCATTAGTCGAATAATGAGTAGACGCTGCGTTGATGCTCACGCTATCATCCACTTAACAACTTGGCCAGTCTGGAGTGATTTTAGAGCCTGTCCTCTATATTTTCTCATATAGCCTTTACCCCACCAAAAAAATAAAAAAAAAATACTCCAGAGGGCATCATCTAGCACCAACCCATCGACCACAATTAGGTTAAAGTCTTGTTTATAGTCACTGGCGAGTGTGTAAACCTTTATATTTTAAAATATTAATAAGCATGTAAAAGTGGCATCCTTATGTTTAAGTAGAGATTTCTAAATTTTGTGTACTTCTAGTAAACATCTAGTGATCACTAAACTTCCTCTTTTATGTGTTAATAATGAGGAGACCAGAAAAATTACCTAAATATATGAATAAATTAATTTGGGGATTGGCTTCACATTTTTGTAATAGAACATTCAAATTGACGTACCTCCAGGTAGCATTATGCTGCATTCATGTGCTCCTCGGGAACTTGGGATTCCAAGATGTCAAGATTTTGACTTTCATGTGCATTCATGTGCCTCTCTTGGAAAGTCTGGAATTTGATGTCTCTCTGCCCCAGGACCCCAGGATGTTTTGACTGTATTTTGTTCTCACCAATAACAAAATCCCTCCACTTCTTAACGTTTAGTTATTTGTTTACTTTTTCTAGTTAACCTTACATCAGTAGTTAAAGGGACAGTTCGGAATATTTGGATATATTTGGACATATGGCCTCATTTCCTAGTGAGCCAGAGTGTTGGAGACGTGTGGAGACACTTTTTTAAAATATTCCATCCAGTCCTTGTATTTGCAGAGGTCACTGGTGCTAGGCTAGTGCATGTCAATGGTCATAGTTATCCTGCCACTAAAAACAGTCTTACCCACTCCACAAAACACCCAAAACAAATCTATTATTACACCAGACTGTCCATGTAAATGTCTGTGTTGATATAGTAATGTTTGAAATAAAACCTACCCTTGTGTCGCACATGAATCGTCGCATTTTGAGGGACTGTTTTCTCATATATCAGTCCGCTGGTGCCAAGCTTTCTATCAGGCAGTACAACTCGCTGCTGCTGCTTAGACATAAACCTTCAAATGCAAGGTTGGTTTTACTTCTAAAATTATTCTATCTGCGCAGACATTCACTTTAACACTCTGGTGTAATAACAGATTTGCTTCGGGTGTTTTGTGGAGTGGGTAAGTTTTTAGTGGCAGGATAACTATGACCATTGACATGCGCTAGCCTAGCACCAGTGACCTCTGCAAATACAAGGACTGGATGGAATATTTTAAAAAGTGTCTTCACACGTCTCCAACACTCTGGCTAGTCCCAGGTCTTTCTTGTGCTGATCTGTTGCTCTTATGATCTGGATCACTGTCAGTAAAATCATCACCACAGAACAGTGACGTCAGGTGAAGTTGTGAGTTCCCACGTTGTTTTTCCAACCTGTGCTGCATTCATGTGCAATTTTCCAACTCGAAATACATTTTCCTGAGTTCCCGAAAACCACATGAAGTAAATAGCACTAAGTGAGTTGTTGCAACAGGCAGATAGATCATTTTGTGTCTATCAATGTCTATGATCCACAGCTGTTTGGTTTTAATTACATTTTTATTGATCTTTCGGGACGCCTCTTGACTTCCTGAATATGTCCCTGATTTGAATATTTGCTTCTTAATTGGGCCGAGGTTTGTCTATGTTTACACTCAACGATTCCTTTCTATTGCCTCTCACATTCTGCTCTAACAAGGTTTTAATTACATAATGCTAATGAGCCTCATTTATTATGTTTACCAGCAGCAATAAGCAATGACTCCAAACATTAATCTCTTTACTAATTATGAAAAATGTTATTTGGGTTAGACCTCGCCATTGTCCAAGTCCCTTTAAAGACATAACTCACAGCGTTGCAGTCGCTGTTAGCACGCTCCCTGTTGTTAGGGGGGAGACGGAGACAGGACCAACTAATCTTTGGCTGAAAATGAGGCCGGCGGAGTTTCCTTTTCGGTCCGAGGAGGAAGTTTCCAGAAGATCTACTGCTGAGAATTGTCCCATATTTAGTTTCATAGTAACTTAGGACGTGAACTGGGCTGTGCAAAGTTTGGGGGAGACTAAAATAAGAAACTGAATGTACCGTCTCTGGAAAATGTATTAAGGGAAGTTGTACAAGTTAATCTAGTGTTTGCACAAATGCTGCAAGTAAGCCTGTATTAGACCCCAGAAATGATCAGCTAATGTGGCAAAAAGCCTATAGTTAATTAATGTAAGCAGTGCAGTTGGATTTGAACAATATAAAACTCATTAAACATCACCACATTTTTAGTATTGCAAATTTTAAAAGTTCGCTGTCTAACTTAACTTCTAGGGCCTGATCTTGCCCCCAGTCTTAGCACTTAGCGCAAGTGTGGGGTATTGAGTTCTAAACAAGACGTGTGTCGTGTCAGAATATCAGGTGGAATGGAGCAGACTGAGGGCAGGTGTGGCGCGTACAGTGAATTGATAGAATCGTAAAAATAAATAAAAATATCAAACGAGCCTGTTGAAAAACAACAGGTAACATGCTCAAGGCTTCTTTTATTTGGAAATATATTAGGGTGATAACTGCTTAACATTCATAACATGTTCGTGTGCTGTGCGGGAGTCGTCCAGATGCCCTCCCGCAGCAGAGCACAGCCCCTCGCCCGCTCCCTGTATCGGCTCAGCTCTGCCCTATAGTTTAGTTTAGTCTGGATCTGCACAAAAGCTGCTCATTCACATGAGGCCGTTTACAGTGATGTCCTAAAGTGTGTATTCTAACTCTGCGGTTTGTCTATGCTCCTAATGCTGCTATGTCGAGTTCCTCACATTCTCGTGGCCAGACTCAAAGCAGTAACATCAGAAACATTTATATGACAATAAACATATTCCATAATCCGCAAGACATTGACCTGTGATGGACTAAATGCAGTGGACCTGAGAGACAAGAATGTGAAAGGTCAGCGGTAGCAGAGGTGGACATTTGTACCTCAGGTGAGTCTGTGGGAGCAGACTGTTGGGACATGCTGTCACTTTATATATTTGTACCGTCCCACTCCAGCTTCCAGCAGCGAAGTACAGCCCCACCTGGACACGCCCACTTGCGCTTAGTGCTAGGACTGGGGGCAAGATCGGGCCCTTAGTCTCCATGGATATGTTATGTTCCACAGTATGGATCTGTCTTCGATGTATTCAGTAACAAGCTCAAAAATACCTTGAAAAATATGGATTCTTGCTTTGAGCAGGATTTCCTCTCATCTCCACAGATCTGACATGTTAGCTTAGCTGATGGCAGTCTCACTCTCAGTTAAGATATAGACAGAAGATAGGTTTTATGCTGTACTGTTGGCTGATTAGTACATGAATAAGGTTGGCAATAGTTTTCAAAATCTTGGACTCCCTTGCCTTTCTTTGGGCAGTTTTCCCTTTATATACTGTAGATAGATTGCAGATTGCATTTGAGTTTTCTGGTATCTTCAACCTTAAACTTGCACATTTTGCTCAGTATAGACTTACACTCCAGCAAAGTACTACTCCCAATCATAATCCTCCTAATACTCAAAATCTTGAAAACCCACTGCTTTAATCCACCGTTCCAGACAGGTTTGGCAAAGGAACATTGAAAGAGAATCAAATAAACAACAGGAGAGCACTGCTGACAATTACCAACTAGAAGAAAAAGCCAACCATCTAGGTCCAAGTATCTCAATAACTGTTCTTACAAATCTCTGTTGCTCCAAATAAGAAATTAGTTGAAAAATTAGCCCAAAACGTTACCATTGCAATGGACTACAGATCGTTTTTCATGCCCGATGCTGATACCGATTGTTAAGAATCCTGAGAAACCAATGGCCGATAAGCTCTGTCGATATTTCTGGGTTGATATTTAGAGCTGATTTTGATTATTTTCCTCAAATGATGAAATTAAAATTGACTACAAATTCACCCACAGCCCTTTTTTTTTTTACCACAAACCTTCAAGAAATCTCTGTGGGTCCTACTTTATGAAGTTATATTAACACTTTAATTTGAAGATAAGATAACGCTTTGTGTGGATTTTTACGCGTCAGATCGACCAAAACAAAACATCAGTCTGTAGTGGGCCTCTCCACAATTAAAGGGCCCTTATTTTGCCATTTTCTATGTTATAATGTTGTTTCCTCATCACAAATATACCTGGAGTTGTATTTTGTTTCGTTCACACATGTTTAACACAAAAACCCTGCAGATTTAGACTGAGTTCTTCTCTGAAATGGAAAACACATTGTTCTACCTTGTGATGCCACGAGGTAATACAGGAATGGCTCCAATGTGTTTTTAAACTCCATGGACCATCACTAGAATCATTTGAATGATTTTAGCCCTGGAATTGCCAGTCTCTGCCGAACTAAAGGTAAAAGGAGCTGTTAACTTAACTACCAATAAATGGCATCACAAGGTGGAATAGAGCATTTTGAACTTTGAAGATGCAGACAGAATGGCCAAGCATGTGTGAGTGAAACAAAACAAAACTCCAGGTGTGTTTCTGAGGAGGTAACAACAGTATAACTTGACATAAAGCTCACAAGAATCACCGTTAACATACCCATCAATACATGAAAAACCAGAATCCCTTTAACCAAGCTATAAAACCATCACAAACTTGATATCAAATCCCTATGTTACCTTCATCTCAACACATTTCTATTCCCCGTTATCGTCTGCATCTGTCCGTACCATCTCCCCTCCTCACCTCCGCCCCAGGACCTGAGAGCTCTTCATGTTTTGACTGTATTTTGTGTTAACGGTCGGCTGCGCAGGTGTGACCAGGTCTATGAAGGATAAGGTGACCAAACCCACGGCCATGGCGCAGGGGAGGGTGGCTCATATGATAGAATGGCAGAGCTGGAGCACACCCTCTGCTGGACCGCTGGGGAAATCCAACTTCCAGAGAGAAAAGCAGAGGCGACTGGAGAACGATGCCTACAGTGATCTGAGCGACGGGGAGAAGGAGGCACGGTTTGCTGCAGGTAAGTTCAACATCAGTATTACAAAAAACAAAAAAAGAGATACACAGGTAGTTTTTTAGTTTCAGTTAATATCTGTTTCTCGAAGGGGAGTCAGTATTTTTGTATTGATTAATATGGTTTTCCAATTTCTTTTTGTAAAGCCTGAAATCCCAACAGCAGTCGCCTCACAGGGTTTCACAAAATTGTCAATTTAACAGACACAGAAAGTTAAAAAATGAACAGTGAAACAGTCCTTGGTCAATAACAATCCGTGTATCATTGGTTCATTTGTTTTTCAATATAAATCCATTATTTATTTGTTATTATTATTCATTATCTGACTCCAAAATCAAAATGATACGTGACTTGAACTGAGATGTCAGACTGAACCAGGACTGATCTACGACTAAAACAGGTCCAGGACTGAGGCCTTGACCAGACCAGAACCAGGCTGTGATTGAGACAGGATTTAGACCGGGACTGAGACTGGGACTGAGACCGTTACTGACTGGGACTAGATCGAGACCAGACCAGGACTAAGTCTGGGACCATACCGGGACCAGAACTAGGACGAGACCATGACTGAGACCGGGACTGAGACTGGAACTGAGACCGGGACCAGACCAGGACTAAGTCTGGGACCATACCGGGACCAGAACTAGGACGAGACCATGACTGAGACTGGGACTAAGACTGGAACTGAGACCGGGACCAGACCAGGACTGAAAACAGTTTAGTCGTGGTTTAGTCCTGGTTCAATCCGACATCTCAGTTTAAGTCACGGAAATGGGAAACCGCTATTATCCGTTTTTTTCCATTATTCATTTAAACAAAAAAACGAAAACTGAAAAAACAAATTGTTATCCGTTTTTTTTTTTCATTTTGGTTTTGAAGACAAATGATTAAGAAAACATTATAACGAATGATACACAGATTAATAACAGACAGATTAACCAACATTCAAAGGAAACACGTAAATGGAGAACTGTCCAGTACTAGGAAAAACTTCAGTGAAAATAGAGTAAAATAATGTTAAATTTGTTAATAATAATAATGCATTAGTTTTACATGCCACTTTTCGAGATGTCGCTTTAGAATTTCATCATTTTTCCTTCACTCTACACTTAATTTAAGAAAGGCTGAAGTGACATTGATTCAAGCTTTAAGATGTTTCACTTTTGATGTCTTACTTTAATAAAAACAGTTAGACTTATCCCCGTAATTAGTATCTTTACATATTATACACTACCAGTCAAAAGTTTGGGCACTTGGTTGGCAGTTAAGACAAAAGTGTGAAATAACTGAAAATCATGTTTTAGATTTCCGATTCTTCTAAATGGCTTTGATCGCCGCTGCTTTGCACTCGCGGCACTCCAGTGATGAACCCTGACAAGGCACAGCTTTGAAGTGAATTTCAGGGACTTTATCTTGAAAATCATTGAGAGAAGGCAAGGGTGGCTACTTTGAGCATTTGAATAATACATATAAAGCATATTTAGAGTTATATATTTTTTCTTGCGCCATATATTTGATATCTTTAGTTGTTATGAAGAAAATAGTAAATGCACAGAAAAACCATTGAAAGAGAAGGTGTGTCCAGACCTTTGACTCGTATAGTGTATATATTTAAGTGTTCTGTTTTTGCTCTTACAGGAATCATGCAGCAGTTTGCCATCTCCGAGGCTACTCTGTTTGGCTGGAACTCTCTGGATGGGGACAGTGTGGGGGCGGAGTCAAACCACGGCAGTGTGGCCCATCTGAGCGAAGTTAATCAAGAGAGCATCACCAGCAGAGGTAAAACTCACTACTGTAACTTCTTTATCAAAACCATCTTGATATTATTGTAGATGTGTAAATCTGAGTAAGTGGCTTATAGATATAGACAAAACAAAGAAAATTACTTACTGCTAAGTAGGGATGTAACAATAACCGAAATATCGTGATATCGTATTGTCAAAAGTCTCACAATATATTGAATTACAAGTTCCTTCGCTTAAATGCATTGTTTTATCATAGCAACAGCTTATAAACATAGGGAACTACATCTCCCTTGATTCATTTCAGTGCAAACACCATGAAGAAATATGTTTTTTACTTGAATTCTTGGGATTATGACAGAAATAACTCACACCAAAATCTTGTCAAGGTATTTTAAAAGCAAAAATGTGTCTGATCTACAATTATATAAGCCTCTTCAAAATATCGCAGTAAATATCGTACCGTGAGATGCATATCGTGATAATATTGTACCGAAAGATTTGGATATCGTTACGTTCCTACTGCTGGAGAACCACTCTACCACTGCGTTATGTAAAATTGTAAACTTTAATAACTAATAACATGAGAATGTGCACACTGTTTCCACACTATATACCTTTTTTGGATCAAGTTAGTTATCACAGTCATTGTAACTAGGCAACATTTAAGTCTGTGTTCTAATGTTCAGGCCATAGACGTATAATTAGGAGATGCAGTGCTCCGTGTTCATGCCATCGATCACTTAGCAACTCGGCGTGAAGATTTTAGAACACCGCAGGCAGTTCGCTGATTTTGTGTGGTTCTGGTAAGCCCCTAGTGAGCACCAAATCTCCTCTTTTACACGGTACTGGGGAGGAGAGCAGATAGATCACGCAGTATCATAAAATAAACTTCTTGAAATTTGATATGCTTTAACATGGGGATTGGCTTCAGTGTTCATTTGTATGTGAAGGAGCTTTTGATTTGATGTAACTCCGGGTAGCAGCGGCGCCAACTGAGCAATGGGCAGAGATACATAATTTAACATCTGTGAATGTCTGTGTTTGGTCTTTCTCTTGAGTTTTTGATACAGACAAATCAGTGCTGGTTTGAGTTTTAACAAGTTTGCATTCAAAGTCAGATCAAAAGCTTATCTGGAGTTGTGTTTTGTTTCATTCACACATGTTTAACACACAAACCCTGCATATTTAAAACTACCACTACATGACATTACAAGATGGAACAGAGCATTTTAAGCTCTGGACATCCATCCATTTATCCATTTTCTTCCGCTTCTCCGGGGCTGGGTTGCGGGGTCAGCAGTCTAAGTAGGGACTCCCAGACTTCCTTCACCCCAGACACGTCCTCCAGCTCCTCCGGGGGGATCCTGAGGTGTTCCCAGGCCAGCCGAGAGACAGTCCCTCCAGCCTCCTCTCTGTGGCACATGCCCGGAACACCTCCCGAGAGAGGCGCCCAGCAGACCTCCGGAACAGATGCCCGAGCCACCTCAGCTGCTCCTCTCGACGTGGAGGAGCAGCAGCTCTACTCCGAGCTCCTCCCGTGTGACTGAGCTCCTCACCCTAATTCTAAGGGAGCGCCCAGCCACCCTGCGGAGGAAACTCATTTCAACCGCTTGTACCCACGATCTCGTCCTTTCGGTCATTACCCTAAGCTATGGAGATGTTGTCAGATAATAATAACGGATGAGTCAAACGTGAGTGAATGAAATAAAACACAACTTCAGGCATGTTTTTGAGGAGGTAACAGCATTCTAACATGGCTTAAAGCTCACAAGATTCAGTTTTGCGTAACATTCCACCTTTAATAGCTGAAATCTTCTATTTTGTAATCTGCATCAATAACATGAATCTTATTTACTGTAAGGATCTACTAATCTTCCTTTTGACCTTCTGCTCATCTGGGCCATGTATCTTTTCAACCCTTAACCATGACTTATCGATGCTGTGGTCATGCTTTATCACTCGGGTAATACTGTTTCCCCCACAATCCCCTGAGGAGGCCTTAGATTAACTTAACCACAGAAAACCTCCTGCGTTCATAAATATGTCTCAGGCTATAGAAATAGTGCAGGACATGACCTTACACAGTGGCGGTCTATACGTTATGTGGAGCCGGGTGCTTCTGTTGTGCTTACAGTGGAGGTTTGTGAAAATTAGAGTCTTGTTTGCAGCTAAAAATAGACGTGTCAGTTATGGAGGCGACCGGCTGGAAAGGACTTTTGGAGGACGGCCACCGATCGCAGCTGGGTTCACCGCTACGAGGCTCACGCGCAAAAAAACAATATCGCACAGACAATAAGAGAGTTCTGTAGGGGATAAATAATGTAAAGTGTATCTTATGAAAGTAGTGGCCTTCCCATATAAATGTTTTAACAGACAGATAAAAAGAAATAGCAAGGTTATTGATGTTAAATGAATGTATAGAAAGTGTAGGGGTGATGGAAGTTTGGACATCAGTGCTTTGTTGGATACATTTTCATGCTTGACAAGTCTGTCCCTCTTACTTTTCTAAAACTGTGGTTGTATCCTTGGGCAAGACATTTCACCCACATTGCCTAGTATGAATATCGTGTGTGTGTGTTTGAGTGTTGGTTGGATGGTTTTCTGTGTATTAATCAACTGTCTTAACTTAGAGCCTGTTTACACGAGAACGCTTACGGGTAAAAATGACAAAATATTTTATCGGAAGTGCCTTTCGTTTAGACATGATGGCATTTTGGGGGCTTAAATACGCAAAAATTTGAAACCACTTTGGACTCTGGAAAAGTTGAATACTTTCTGCTGTAGCGTTTCTGCCTACACTGCCCAAGACTCAAAACTCTGGTCAGATCTGCTCACATCGCGTACACGTTTACGTCACATTCATCACCCCCTAGCCACCTGACATGCATACCCAATCGAATTCCACACACGCAGATTTCCTCCCGAAAAAGCTTATCTAAATGCAGAATAAAAAGTGAAGACGTGTCGCCACTTTTGCGTCTTCTGTTCAGACCGTCATCATATAAACAACAGCTCAGGACCGACCAACAAGCGCTGGGGTCTAAACTTGGCTGCCCATTCAAGTCAGTGACCTGAGCTCAATGGCGCATGTCTCCAGATTAGCCTAACCTGGCTGGGTGGCTTCCGGTGGCTCCCTGCTCATTGAATAGTGCTCTTTTCTCATACGGGTGCACGCAACCGCTCTCAAAGACCGCAGTCTTGTTTATCACGTGATCACTTTGATCAATCAGAGTGAGAGGAGCTAGAGCGGAGCTGGAGCTAATGATTAAAAAGACAACTGAAGGATTTTGAGCTGAGAAAAAGTTTATCATCTAAAAATAGCTCAAAATCCGACCTTTTTGAAAACTGTAGGTGCCCTGTCAGCCGAACACAAGCAGTTTGTAGGCAGGAGGGTTTTTTTCACTTTAGTACCAGTGACTGGCCACTACACCAACTCAAGACATCTCTAAGCAACAATACCCTATCCAGTTATTTGAATAGATCCATACCAGTCAATCACAGTCACTCATTTGTTACACATGTCATCTCCTCTGAATATACTGGTATGATTTAGATTCTACTTCTTTTACCTCAGATAAATAAGTTAGTTTGGTGTTTTGTTTGTTGTTTCTGCAGACATTTGTGTTTTTTCCTCTGGTATTTTCTTTTCTTTTTTTACTCTATAGCCACTAGGCCTGTCATGTTAACAAATTTTGAAGTGCGATATATTGCTTAAAGGTGTATTGTGTAACTTTTCATGTGGAGGGTCCATCAAGCGCTTTTCTCCATGTTATTGTGTCTGAAACGTTTCACAGTCTGGAATTAAACCTTTCTATCTTCATGAAGACCAAGTTAGATCAAGTTACAGGTCAGATCTGTGAAGATGCGATGCCACTCACAGTCCGAATATCTGTTTTTCGAGGTATTTTTGAGCTATAAAACCACCTGTACTTGAATAAATGTAAGTTAGACCTGTTTAATGTCATACTGTGGAACATTCCAGGTAGAGCAAGGACATACCCATAGAAACAAACAGGTGATGATCCACCAAACAAAAAGTTACACAGTGCACCTTTAAGTAAATATAGACAATAAACAATAATATTGAAACAAATTTATGTCACAAAAAGTACACAAAAACTATTCTGAACGTGAAATATTATTAAAAAATATCCTAAGCTGCAATAAATAAACAGCAGAATTTTAAGTTGTTTTTTTTTTGGTTAGTTTTCAACTGTAATGAGTCAAATAAGTTATTAATTCAACCTTCTACAATTCAAATTTGATCATATAGCCAAAAACAAACCATAATTTTCTCAGAAGTGCAAATAAAATGTAGCCAGGCTGGTGCCACCTAGTGCCTCCACTCAGTTTCATTTCTCTCCAGCAACTAGGTCAGGAATCAAAATACACTAGATGGTTCGCAAAAACCCCAGAAGTGCAAGTTTGGGGTTTTTGCGAATCAGCGAAGAGCCATACATTCTGTGTTGTCAACGATTCCTGAGATCAAGGATTTAAAGCCAGAACAAAGAGAATGTTCGGTGAATTTTATCAAGGGGAAAGACGTTATTGCCCTTCTTCCTACGGGACTTGGGAAAAGCTTAATATACCAGTTAGCCTCATTAGTGGCGCATTACATATGTCACAACTAAATAGCAGCGATTGGTTAAATGATAAAAAGTACCTGCGTATTGTCGAGTGAACGAATCCTAATGCTGTGAGGTCAGATGGTTTCCAACAAAGTGAAACCGGCGAATCAGGCTAAATTAAATGTACATACAATTAATATTGACTCCAAAAAATTTGTTTCAATTTTTATATATCGATGTAGTAATTATTGTGACAGGCCTTAACCGCACTAAACTCTCACACACCTGGCATACTGTCCTGAGGAAGTGCGACTGCAGATGGCGCTGTGATCCTGCCTCCACCGGTAAGAAAACAGCGCCAAAACCTGCATAAATCAGCTGACTAGACATGTCACAGCACCATCATGTGACCACTCTGAGGAAGACAGCAGGGAGTCAAAATTGTAAAGTATGAAAACAAATTCTTGGTCTGAAAAATAACCTAATAACATAAATTATCAGACGACCAAATGAACCTTGTTGGACTATTAGGCGCACATTTCACAAACGGACCACGCATTTCTCTGATTGGTTAATCCGCCTGCCAATCACAGCCATCAGAAATCAGAGATACAGAGCTCTATTCGCACGGGATAAGTACAACCTGGGGATGTCTGGTAATTTGCAAATTACCGTCCTGCTCTGTTACTTGCAGTGCATTTAAACGGGATAAGCAAAGTTCGTAAATTACTATATTTTACTCACTTTGACACAGAACAGAATGCGGAAAGAAAAGAGATAGAAAAGACGGGCAATTACAACAAACACTGAGCAGATTCGCACGGGACTAGTATTATCACTGGGCGTCTGTGTTTGGTGAAATATAGTAGGCAGAGGAATTTTTACTTTACAAATGATAGACATGGTGTATTTACACGGGGTTAAGATCTCAGGCATCCTCCGCAATTATTACAAATCACAAAAAAAGGTCCACAGGTCATACTAACCCTGTGCAAATAGGGCTTAAGTAACAATTTTCAAGAGTGTAGTTTTGACTAGCTTGGCAACCTTAACATCTTCTGCTCTGCCTGCTCCTGACACTACCCATTAACCATAGTGTAACCAGGGACATGCCGTTTTTAGCAACACCCTGAATCGTGTAGTTGTTTTGCAGCCTCAGGTGGAGATGTTTCAGCTGCTCAGTGAATGATAAAACACAATGAAAGCACCAATTTGCAGAGGCAAGATTAGACCACCCCGTCTGACCCCAGTAGCACCAGAACACAGTTTGTGGTCAGCTCTTTGCACGAATCCTATCTTTACACCACAGGCTCCTGCTGAGGTGGAAGTGCCGCAAACACTTTATTTTGTACAGATAAACAAAGCCCAGAGCTGCCCTTGTCGGTACAACTCAAGGACTTCTTTCGTCTGGGGAAACACTGCTGCTGTGTTTTTGGCCACTGCTCAAACTGTTGTCTGGCAAGTCTACAATAATATCTCTCTGAGCAATTGTCAGGGCAAAACAAGTCCCCTACATTCATTAGATCTGTATACTGGAACAGGCGTACATGGACTTACATGGACTTACATGGACTTCAGACTGTCCCCTCATGGTTATTTATGACGTGATAGACCTGCATTATGAACAAAAACAAACCAGACCCAGGGAAATAATGAGCTCGTCCTCGTGGTGTTCATGGGTTTCAGGTTAAAAAAAAAAAAAACATTCTTCCTGGTTGGAGGTTTTTGTGAAGACCTGTCCCATTCAGAAACATCAGTAATTTGAATTACATTACTGCTAACTGTTGAGGACCGTTGGACTGCCAAATGCTTCAAATCATGAAGGAATCGCTCGGCCTGAAACACGAAATGATGCCACTTTAATATCACGCTATCATCCCATACATAATTGGGAGCAAATTGTACACAACAGCAAACCCAAAAATAATATGAAAAAACGAACAGAAGAAATAAACAAAACACTGCTGAGCTTCAGTAGACCTTGACTAGTCATTTCTGTTATTAAAAATGAGCAATACTGGTGCCACAGCAAATGATAGAAATAAATCACCTCTCTCCTCGCTCTCCTGGTCACTCACCCCGTCTCTGACTTTCCTCACTCTTGGTCTCTCTCCTCTCTCTCTTTCTCTCTCCTCTCTCTCCAGGCTACTCTCCTCTCTCTCCTGGTCACTTGTCCCGTCTCTCTCTCCTCTCTCTCTCCTGGTTACTTTCCCCTCTCTCTCTCCTCTCTCTCTTGTTTACTCTCCCCTCTCTCTCTCTCCCTTCTGTCCTGGTCACTCACCTCTCTCTTTCTCTCACCTCTCTCTCCTGGTCACTCATATTTCTCTCTTTCTCTCTCTCTAGTGATCACTCACCTCTCTCTCCTCTCTTCTGGCTACTCTCCTCTCTCTCCTGGTCCCTCACCTTTCTCTCTCTCTCTCTCCCTCTCTCTCTCTCTCCCTCTCTCTCTCCTGGTTACTCTCCCCTCCCACTCTCCTCTCTCTATTAGTTACTCTTCTCTCTCTTCTCTCTCCTGGTCTCTCCCTTCTTTCTCTCCCCTCTCTCCTGGTTACTCTCCCCTCTAGTGGTGTGCAAAAATATTGAAATATATCAATATATTATATTATTTAATGTGATGATACAGTATGGATATCACTGTCTGCTGTATCAATATCTATCGCCAAGAGTATTTTTTGGTATATTTTACGAAATTATTTTGTTACAGAGCTACAGTTTTGTTACTTGTTTAGTGGTAGGAAACTCATTTATGCAACACACTCTCCCCTCTGTCTCTCTCCTCTCTCCTGGTCACTCTCTCTCCTCTCTCCTGTTCACTCCCCCCTCTCTCTCCCCTCTCTCTTGGTTACTCACCTCTCTCTCGCTTCCCTTTCTCCTGGTTATCCCCTCCCCTCTCTCCTCTCTCCCGGTTACTCTCCCCCATCTGTCTCTTTTTTCTGTCCTGGATACTCCCCCCTCCTCTCTGTCCTGGTCACTCACCCTCTCTCTCTCCTCTCTGTCCCGGTTACTCTCCCCTCTCTCCCCCTCTCTCTCTCCTGGTCACTCACCTCTCTGCCTCCTCTCCTCCGTGCTCCTCAGATCAGATCCTGCACCACTCCTCTGCAGACGTGTGGCCTCACTCTTACGTGTCCCAGGGCCTGTACTGTCTCTCTTCGTCTGACGCCTGGGACCCGATCACCAGCCAGCCCTCGGGCATGGCCTCCCCCGCAGCCAGCTCCTACATCATGGCTGGAGGTACGCACTGCTCACTGGAGGAGACAAGTGCAGAGTTTTTCCTGGATAAAGATATCGCTTGACCTAAAATATTCCACAGCATGATATAGGACGTATTTGTTTTGCATTTATTCAATAATAGGTGTTTTTAATTGCAAAGAAAATGCCTTGAAAAACATGCAATCTTAGTGTGCCTTTAATAATATTTCAACAGGAATATATAATGGTTTGTTTAACACTTTAATGAATCTTGAATACTTGGCATGAGTTCAGATGGTCTCAGTGTATGGCATTTGCAGCATATTTTAAAATGGAGGTCTTCTTACATCTTGTTCTTCTCCCTGTGTGTGTTTGTGTGTGTGTTTCTTCTCAGGAGGCAGTGGAGCGTGTGGGACCCCGGGCGAGGGCTTCGAGGGGACGGTCAACAGTTTCCTGACTCAACATCAGGCTCAGCTCGTCCTCCAGCAGCAAACACAGCTCCAACATCTCCAACAGCTGCACCAGTACCAACAACAGCAGCTACTACAGCAACTACAGCAGCAACAGGTCTGTCCATATATGTCTATACGTGTCTATAATTATAACACAACAAGTCACTCTAACATCTATATGTCTGTGTAAACATAACAACTACAGCAGCAACATGTCTGTCTATATATGTTATTACGTGTCTATAATTATATCACAACAGGTCACTCTAACCTCTATGTCTAAGTGAACATAACAACTACAGCAGCAACAGCTCTGTCTATAGAAGTCTATAATTATATCACAGCAAGTCACTCTAACATCTATACACAGTCACTATGTATGTCTGTATATGCCTACAACTATAACACAGGTCATTCTATTCAAACACAGCTCTAACTGCTGCATCAGTACCAACAACAACAGTTATTACAGCAACTACAGCAGCAACAGGTCACTGTAGCACAGATCTGGGCATTGTCCAGCTCCGGGGCCACATACAGCCCTTTCGTTGACTCTGACCGGCCTGTTTCAGCTCATTTGGAAATACAAAATAAACATATTTGATAATTTTACCTCATGGACTAAAGCTGCATTGCTTTTATTTTAGAGGTGTTTTTTTAAATGACATTTTTTGTAAGGCGGCCTCCCTTTTTTATTGCTTAGTCATAACATAAACTCTCACCAGTCTGACCAGCTTGTCAAAACAATACTATTTACTGCTTTTTTTTTTTTTTTAAATAAAGAAATACAATTAATATTATGCAGAACTGAGTTAAAGTAAAGTTCCACAATATTTCAAATTTTCTCATGTGGCCCAAGGGGGAAAAAATGCCCACCCCTGCTCTAGAGTCTATATGTATAGGCAACTCTGTATGTCTGTACAAACATAACACTCAGCTCCAACAGCTGCACCAGCTACAACAGTTATTACAGCAACTACAGCAAAAATAGGTCACTTTAATATCTATATATGTCTATAGCTATACCACGACAGGTAATTCTGTATCTCTGTAAACATAACAGGTCATATGTCTGTACAAACATGACACACAGCTCCAGCAACCAGCAGCAACAGCTACATAAACATAGACAATATGTTTTTTAAATAATTAACCACATGCTTTTACTGACAGTGGACTGGCAGGAGACATCTCCATTAAAAACACCCAGGCTGATCAGTGATGATTAAAAAGAACTTAATTACAATTTGATTAATAGCACAGCCCTGCTGTAACAAGATATCCATATTCAACATACAAACAGCTACAGCAGTTTACAACAGCACGGTCTGACATAGTATCGCTCATAGCAAAAAGAGAAGCCCTAAGAAAAATAGGTTTAAAGATACTATATTACACAAAATTAACTCTTATGAGCTTTAAGTAAAATTAGAATGTTGTTACTTCCTTAAAAACATATCTTGAGCTGTGTTTTGTTTCTTTCACACGTTTGAGTCTCCAAAGCTCAAAATGCTTTATTCCACCTTGTGATGTCATGAAGCAGTAGTTTTGAAGTGAACAGCTACCTTTTATCTTTTGTTCAGTAGAGATTAGTAATTCCAGGTCATAAGCTCTCCAAATGTTTCTAGTGAAGGTGTATGGAGTTTAAAAACACAGTGGAGCACTTCCTGTATTACCACATGACATCACAAGAGTGTTAGTGGAATGAAGTGTTATCAGTTTGAGTAAAAACTCCTATAAAGCCTAAATATGCAGGATTTGTGCATTAGACACGTGAATAAAACAAACCACAACTCCAATTTGTTTGTGATGAGGAAACAAGATGATAAAACAGATCAGAAAATAATGTAACATGGGTCTTTTAAATTGTACCATCCAATTCAACCAAAACCAAAGTTGATTTCAGATTTTAGAATTGCAAATTGTAGAATGACATTACAAAAAAGTAGGATTTTATGAGAGTAGATTTGCAGTAAACCCTGGTACACATCAAAACACAACGAGATGTAATACAGAACCAGAACACAACAGATCTATACCGTCTTTAAAAATCACTGAGTCTGTCCCAGCCCCTTTCTGTTTTGAGCTGTCTCTGCTTTTGTTATTACCCTCATCTTTCACCTCATGTCACAAACCCACTGCAGCTGTATTGATCATGTTACTGTGACAAATTCTTTAATATGCCCTCCATCTTTTATTCATTGACGAGAGAAAGATTCCTAGAAATTTTTAGTGCTTTTCAGACCCGCCTTGGTCTTAATATGCAGCCAGTGTTGTATAAATCATTAGCTGGAGGATTTTTGTACAATTGAATGAAGTCTGGGTAAAGTGTGACACAGGGAGAGGGGGGGGTTTGGTCTGACTCGGAGCTCGTTAAATACAGCAGGCCTATGAAATAATAACTGCTAAAGGTCAAACGCTGTGTCTCAGAGAAGGGAGCTCTCTGCAGATGAGAAGTAACACGTCGCGCTGTGCATTATGGGCAATATATATTTAATTTGTCTTCTTTTCAGTAGGTTTAAAGACACAGATTAGGTTATGTCAGTAAAGCTGTGACACTGCTTTAAAGACGCATTTTGTAACTTTTGTTGTCTGAAAAGTCAGCCCCTTCTACGTTCTGTTCGAATCCATAACAGTCTGAAATTGGACCATAGAGCGTGAAAAATCTCCGTCCCAACTTAAGACGATCCAACCACAGCATCTAATTTGTATCACATGTCTCTCAAATGCAGAAGACATCACCTCTCCAGAATGATCGTAACATTCAAAGCAAAATATATATCTTTGTTTTACATGAGATAAGTACTGTATTTTTCGGACTATAAGTCGCTCTTTTTTCCATGGTTTGGATGGTCCTGCAACTATTTTTTTTTCAGTGCGACTTATATATTCAAATTTTCACACTGACGGCCGTGAGAGGGCGCTTTAGGTTTGTGTGCCAGTATCTGCTACTCCTATTACTCCTGTACCACTGTGCACTCTGCTGAGCATGTCTCCTACAGAAAAAGATGCTGTCCTGCTGCAAGCAATGAAATATTCAGTCAAAAATGGTAATTGAGCAGCTGAAAGAAAGTTCAAGTGAGCGAGAAACTTGTGAGGGACTGGCGAATGGCAGGGATGGAGAACACAGCTTCACAGGAACGTGGAGGGTGCGCTATGCAACTTTCCTGGAAGAAACAGGATGAGTAGACAAAGCCTGGAGTTCAGTGACAACCAAAACCATCCTGTCGGGATTCTAATAATTCTAACAGGAATTGATGCTGAGTCTGACGACAGCTACACAGAAGTGGAAGCGGCACTCCTTTTACCTCCGGAGGTCACGGAGTTGCTCAGAAGTGACACTGAGGATGAAGAAGTCAATGGATTTAGTGATTTGGAGTGAGATGGAGAGTTCCGTAATGTTCTTTTGTTCATGCTATAGTTATCTGAATAACTGTTAATATGTTATGTTAACATACTCTGTCTGAGGCTTTGTTAGACTTTAATCTGAGCTTTGTTTTAACACAATCAGACCAGAAAGAACTGACTTAGCTGGAACTACAACAGGTGAGATGATTTTTACTTTTAACAAGTCCCTCTCAAATAATATTACAGTCATTAGCAGCATTAGCCAACAGTTTTAGTCACTCTCACATTTTTGTTGAAAATTAAACACCTAAACAGGACCATGAACGCTCATATTGATCACAGGCTCTTGAAAATATGTTGTTTAAATCTATTTTGTATTTTTCAGACTATTTAAAGAAAAATTAATAAAAATGTCTGCCAGTGTTTGCTAATGTTTACATAGTAACTACTGAACATTTCACACTACACAAACATATAGGACACCCCTATTGCGATGTTGCTGCAAAGTTTCAGTTGGATATTTCCCCAAATCTGATCTTTTACTGTATTTTTTAGACTATAAGTCACTCTGGAGTATAAGTCGCACCAGCCAAAAAATGCGCAATGAAGAAGAAAAAAACATATATAAGTCACACCGGACTATAAGTCGCACTTTTTGGTGAAATGTATTTTGTAAAATCAGAGACCAGGAACCCATCTTGAAAGGCAAGTTATAGTAATTACAACAGAATATGTTAACTGTTAAAATGTTAACATCACATATTAACAGTTATTCAGATCATTATAGCATAAACAACATAAGTTTACCAAACTCACAATCTCACTCCAAATCACTAAACTAGTCTAAAGAATCAATACACAGATAGTGAAACTAGTATCAGATGCTTATTTGAGTATGAATACTGAAGTAGGACCTTTCATAAATACTTTTTGAATGGTCTTGGTTTATATCAGATGTAGTATAAAACCACATAATACAATTAAATAAATGACTCTTGCGATGTAAATTACATTCAAGTTTGACATTTTAGTATCATGACGACAGAAGCAATCTTTCTCGCTGACTTTTTCGCGTTATCCAGTTAGTTGGAGCTGACCCTCTCCTCCAGAGCTGGCTGCACATTGGACACTTACAATGGCATTGTGTGTGTCATTGTTTTGGCAGTAGGAGATGGTATTTTCTGCTCCTTATTGAGAATGAAAATGTCAGGAGCCCAGGGGAAGATATTGTTCAGCAAAGCTTCAGTGGGTGGTGTGTTTTAATAGGAACATTTTCAAAGCAAGAAACAGTTGAGTAGTTCTGCAAACGAATCAATTCAGCAGACTTCCAGACGAGGGACTCACATAAAGCAACATGAAAATAACTACCTTTTCCTTGTTAACACATTAGTAATAGTCTTTGTATTATGATGGTAGTACTGGGGCTCCTTGTATTTAAAGGTGCAATGTGTAACTTTACTGGTGGATGGTCTGTCAAATGTTTTTCTTCATGGAGATGTTCTTGCTTTGTCAACAATGTTTCACAGCATGGTATTAAAACTTTCTATCTTCATGGAGACCAAACCAGGTCAGATTGGTGGAGAGGTGACCCCACATACAGTCAGCATGCCTGTTTTTTTCTAGGTATTTATGAGCAGTAAAATCACCTGTAATCGAATAAATCTATCTTTAATAAATAAATAAATAAATCTTAGTAATAAATCTTTAATGTGATATTGTGGAATATTCCAGAGAGAGCAATGACATATCAAAACCAAAAAGTTACATAGTGCATCTTTAGTATATTCAATGTAAGTTATTTTTTTGTTTTTTTTTAGTTTTTTTTTAACAATGGCTAAGGATTCAAGTTATAATAAGTGATATATAAGTGATAATACAGATGCTGCGTACTAAACATTTTAATTATAAATCATTTCACCAATCAGGACCCAGGTTCAAAAGCACTGATTTGTAATTAGTGGGTGAGTTCATTAGAATGCAAACCCTGTATTGGTGCTGGGAATCACAGGGTCCCGCATGATTCAATAGAGACTTTGCAGCTGATGTCATCAACATTCCCTGGAGGTGTGAAGCTAACCGAAAGCACTACGCTTTATTTTAACACAATCTGATCAGAATGAGCTGATTTGGCTGGAACTAGAACAGTTGAGCTGATCTGTGCTGTTAAACAAGCCTCTCACATAAAATTACAGTTACTAACAAGCGAGCATTAGCTGACATGTTTAGTTTTTGTTGAACACCTAAACAGCAGCATGAACGAAACTTGAGTATTGTTTCTTGAGTTTTCAGAGCATCTAAAAATGTTTGGCTGTGTTTGCTAATGTGTGCATTGTCTCACCGTGGAAACTGTTGAACATTCCGCCAAAATATACATTATAGCATTGTTTCCAAAGAATGGGTCGTGACCCTCAAGAGATTGAGTCGCCTTGACACGATCTGCATGTAGGTCTGCAATATACATATATCTTCACGCACCCCCGCTAATCACTTCTTCTTCATGCATGTTTTTCATTGTGTTTAAAACTTGAGTAATACCATATTTTCCGCACCATAGGGCACGCTCATAAGCCTCCAACCCCATCAAAAAACGACTGCGCGCCCCGCAATCCAGAGCACCCTATACACGAATCCACTCGGGTGTCCCATCACGACTTCAGTAAACTAAAAAAGCCGCACCACCCGCAGCACACGCAAACACGCACGGAGCAGACAGCGAGCACGCAGAGAAAAACACCCACAGACACACTCATCACTCCACTCCGACGAGGAACGGAACGGAGGAACGAACCGAAAAAGCAAGTGCAGTGTGCCACTTCTAGACACGACTGAACAACTGAGTCACTGCGAACACACCAACAATCCGTTGGTCCCAGACAGCACCCTCCCTACACGCCACAACTGAACAAAGCCCAGAGTCACCGTGAACGCGCCAAACAAAGTCCCACTGACCCATCCAACTGTTGTGTTTCATTTAAAGTCCAGTGCGATTTATTTGTGAAAAAAGTTTGAAAATAGACCATTCAGTGACAGTGCGCCTCATAATCCAGAGTGTCTAATAGTGTGGAAAATACAGTACTAATTGTTCAGAGAGACACGATCACTCAGTCAACAATAAAATATCCTCATTAATGTTCAGTAATGGTCACAAATGTATTTTAAGATTTACGAATAATGTCTATTGACTTTGATTGTGAAGATTTGTGACTTTAAAATATGGGTCCCCAGAAAGAAAGTTTGGGAAACACTGCATTATAGAACACCCCCAGCGTCATGTCACTGCAAAGCATCAATACAGTATACGCTATAAAGGTCACATTAGGGATGGGACAGTATGATAACTGTGACAAAAAATAACACGGTATGATGGTATACTGTGGAGTTGCGCAAGTTATAATGCTTAATGAGAACAAGGGACTTCTTCAGTAAGAAAAGTGTTAGTATATTATTGATATATGATACACTGCTCTTTGGTTATGTCCTCCTTTGGTGTGGCGAGATTTGGTGAAACACAGATCAGTTCATATCAGGGTAAATCTGCCATTAGGTGGACTAGGATAGTCACACATATGGTTTTAAAGATTATTAAATTTATTAAGTAAAATATTACTGAAAAAATACTGTAGGCTTTTGATATCTTGTTTGACCAAATACAATTATAGAATCAATGGATTTTGTTAGCAATTTTCACCAGTATTGTGCTTCTGCTCATCAGTTACCTGTGTGGGTTTATATCAACACGATATAATGCCATTCATGTTCACATCATGCTTCTGTGCACATCTGGCACAGTGAGCGGCCAAACACAGTGGATATAGGAGCAACATTTCCTCCTTTGAGCCATCTGGACAAAGCTTGAGGAAGGAAAATGTGCAGAAGAAAACAGGACGACAATGCGAGGTGCCACTCTCAAAGACGTCTTTTACAAAGCCAAGTGCTTTTTGTTTTCTCTTTTCATGCACAGTTATGAAAAATGATATATCTTCTTGATGACAAATAATAATCCATTTGCAAAGCCCGGTGAGTTTTTGGAATACAGAAAAAAGGCTTAGGCCTTGTCCACAGCAGATATGAACAGGGCCATTGTCTGCCCTGGCCGCAGACCAACAGCCTTTCAGCGTCTTCCCCGAGTCACCTCCTCAAGAGTCCACTCCAGAGCATCTGACCTCTGACAATTTATACACAATTACAAAGCTACATACATGTTCAAGCAGAAGGACTTTTGTAATAATAATAATAACAATCATAATAATAATCATCATAATCATAATAATTTAGAAAGCGCTTTTTTAAACACTAAAAGACGATGTACGAAGAAAGAATACAACTAAAAAGAGTATACAAAGGTAATAGACAAAATATAGACATGATTTAAAAGCAGGCTAGGCATTAAAAGTGGTTCTAAATAGATGGGTTTTGAGCAGTTTCTTGAAGTTGGTGGGTTCAGTGCAGTCACAGATTTGAGGTGGGAGATCTCAGGTTCGGAACTGGGTCCTACAGTGGAGGGACAGGAGGTTGGTGTTGGAGGAGCGGTTGGAGTGGGATGGAGTGTGGGGGTGCAGCAGATCTGAGAGGTAGAACAGGGCCTGGTTGTGATGGGCTTTGAAGGTGATAAGGAGGAAGTGAAGTGGAAGTGCTGAGGGATGGGGAGCCAGTGGAGGTTCTGGAGGACAAGAGTGATGTTTTCCTGGGACTGGGTGTGTGTGAGGAGGCGGGCAGCGGAGTTTTGGATGTATTGCAGTTTATTGAACATTTTTGAATGTGTGCCATAAAGATATTGCAGTAGTCGATTCTGGAGGTGATGAATGCACAATTAGGGTTTCTGCAGCAGAGAAAGTGAGAGATGGATGGGCAATGTTTTTAAGAAGGAAAAATGCAGTCTGTGTTATTTGTTCAATATGGGATTCAAATGAGAGGTTTGGGGTCAAAGAAGTTGCCAGGGTTACAGATGAGTGGGGATGGAGTGAGTGACGTGTTGTCAAAATTGAGACGTCAGTTTGAGGTGGGTCTGGTGAGGTTTTTTGGACTGATGATTATGACAATGACTAACTTCAAACTTATTGAGTGAGAGGAATGACTCATTCTTAGTGAGTCTTCCTCCTAGAAAAGACTTTTCAAATCCACTTGGTGAAGCGGCAAAAGGCAGATCTGCCCCTGGATCTGGTAAGAGAGAGCGACTCTGTAAGAACTCTGAGCTCCACAGCATCAGGAGACTCTATTTCAACAGACTCCACTATATCAAGGAGCTCTACTGTGTCAGGAGTGTGTACTCTGTCAGTCTCTACTGCATCAGCCTCTACAGCAACAAGAGACTCTACTGCACCATGACGCTCTACTATATCAGGCAGCTCTATGATATTTGGAGTCTCAACAGTATCATGGAGGTCTACAGTGTCAGGTGACTCTACTTCATGAGGCTCTACAGTATAAAGAGTCTCTACTGCGTAAGGGAGCTCCATTGTATTTGAAGTTTCAATTGTATCAAGGACTTCTCCTAGCCAGGCTGGTGCCACCTAGTGCCTCTGCTCAATTTCATTTCTCTTCACCAACTAGGTCAGGAATCAAAATCAACTAGACAGTTCGCAAAAACCCCGTAAGTGCAAGTTCGGGTACCAGCCAATCAGCGAAGAGCCATACTTTCAGTGTTGTCAACGGTTCCCAAGATCGAGGATTTAAAGCCGGAACAAAGAGAATGTTAAACGTTAATGAAAAACGTTATTGCCCTTCTTCCTACGGGATTTGGGAAACGCTTAATATACCATTTAGCCCCGTTAGCAGCGCATTACATACGTCATGACCAAATAACAGCGAATCCTAATGCTGTGAGGTCAGACGGTTTCTACAAAGTGAAACCAAGTGAAACCGGCTGATGAATCAGGCTAGACTTCTACAGCATATATGTAACATTTTGAAGACTTTTCACCACTCAAAAGATATCATATTTAGGTTTTCATTGTTATTGTTAATCTCTTTGACAACCGCACTAATGTTTAATTAAAGCTGCACCAATACAATAATATTAGGATATGGAGATACATGTGATAATTGGTATGTTCCACATATATTCTACAATATGATTGAATATGAAAAAAAACACGATTGATTAATTATGTATTTTATTAATAATTATTGTTCATTTATTTATTATTATAAGTTATTTATTGTCTTGAAATAAGCAAACACAGTTGCAGTGCTACCACACCTTTTCTTTTTCTTTTCTTGGAATGTACTGAGAAATGCTCATGACAGTGATATATAAATACAGCAGCCTGCAGTATCGATGCTGATGATGTTGTTCATTTAAATCCATAATAGAGTATAACATGCCAGTATAACCCAGATAACATGGCACCAAAATAGCTGCTTTGTAGTCCAAGCAGAGCCTTGAACTTTGAATCTGGAGGTGGTGTGTACAGTCTGTAATATAAAAAGTGGGTCATTCTATTTATCTCCCTCTAGTTCTAATGCTGCGCTTCAACAGTTTGAGGAATGTCTCTCTGCTCTCTCCCTGTTCCTGCTAAATATTGGGTCAGAAAGTGTGTTTAGTATGAATGTGGTGTGCTGCTGTGGCTACAATAGTATCACCACCACCAAGTGCAGAGTCAGTGACTTCAGTGTAGTGCTTTAAGAGGCTTTGACTGCACAGAGCATTACAAGTGTCATTGTTGCAGTCCTACAATGTGCTATACAACCTAACCACTTGCAGTGATACTGATGTTTACATCTAAAATGTTTCTGTGTGTTTTTTTCTATAGATGCACAGTGCCTCTGCCTCACTGCAGGCCACGCCCAACAGCACCATCCACAGCCTGGGCCCACCCACGCACCCACGCCTCGCCGACCTGTGGGGGGCAGCGCAGGTCGAGGCGCATCAGGTGAGAACAACTGCACCAGGCACAAGGGGCATTTAGGGAAGGGACAGGGACAGGGTTTCACACTAGAATGAGCAGCCACAATGGCAAATAAAGTGACAGAAAGAAAGTCAAGATTGTTTTTATGCTTTGGAATGTATTTTTGTCAAATGTTGGGAATAAAGTAAAATTAGTTTTGCCCAGTAGAATATATGTACAACAGCTAGGATCAAAATGAGATGGCTGTCTATATCTAATTACAGGGTATCCCCAGGTTTGACTACGCCAAATTTAAGACCTTTTTAAGACCTTTTTAAGACCACTTAAATGAAAATTATGACCAACATCGCACCCGTTACGTGGCGAAAAACACCAGATCCAATTCTAATAATGACTAACCAACTACCTATAGTTGTACTATATCTAGAATCTAAGAGCCACTGTGCATCAACCCTACACTTCCCCATGATCCATCCACCGTCTTTTGATTGTTGTTTTGATTGTTTACTCATTGCAGCCGGGGCCAACAACCCTCCATTTAACATTGCACTGCAGCCCGGTTGAGTATACAAAAGAATAGGCTAATGAAATTTAAGACCTTTGTGAAAAAAACAAGACTTTCAGACTTTTTATGGCCTTAATTTAGGAACATGAAATCTAAGACCTTTTTAAGACTTTTAAGACCCCTAGGCTACACTAAATTATAAATATGTCTAGGAACTATGAAGTAAAGCTGATGTTTTAAAGCATACTGTTGTTTTTTAGCATTATTGTGATGGCAAAACTCCACTCTGGCCTCTGAGAGTTGTGAAAAGCTCAGTGTGGTTGAATAATTAAACAGTTTAGTGCAGGCCTGAATTTGATAAGGAATTATAACCAGCATTGCTATTGTGGCATCTTGTGTCTAAGTAGTACTTTTTTTTTTATTTATGGGAGTGAATGTAGCATATATTTCCTATATTAGTGTCTCTTTCCTTTCTTCAGACAGTTTTTTAGTTCATGGCAGCTCTAGCCTATATCCATTACTGATAACAGACATTAAGTTGAATTACAGATTTTACAGGTAATCCTCTTCTTCCCCAGCCATATCTTTCTAATGACAGTTGTATTACCACACCTTTAATACAGCGACGATGATCAGAAATGACAGTCTATCCTCTCTGATCCCATCTCGAGCCTCTTGTCAGCTCCATTTCAAAGGACAGCCTTTCTATTCCCATCAGAAATAACAGCGTTTGTGTACCTTTGCTTTGTGTCTCACGGCTTTGGGCTCACTGCAGCGGACACATGTAGCACACGTCAGTAGGAGGAGGACAGGTAGGAGGCTGGAGGTGCATGGAGCGCCCCCTGGAGTGTGCATGGGATACAGCCTGGAGAGGGATACCTGCCTGTGGGACAAACAAAGATAAAACACAAGGGTTGATGAGAATGCAGTGGATTTTGTTGATGATGTGTTTATAATCCAGTAAAAGCAGATGGTTTTATATATGGCATGTCCACTGGAAAAGCATGCAAGGCATTTGGATTCAACATTGATAACTTTCACTGTTCCAGTGCGGGGAATAAAAAAGGTTGAAAGGTTTATTATGATTAATTTATTTTATTTAGTATTTGTTATATAGGTACATATATATTATAAAGGGCAGATATTATGAGAAATTGACACTTGTGAGCTTTTAGCCGTGTTATAATGCTGTTACCTCACTAAAAACATGCCCGGAGTTGTATTTTGTTTCATTCACACATGTTTGAGTAACCCTGGTTAGTCTGTCTGCATCTCCAAAACTCAAAATGCTCTGTTTCAACTTGTGATGTCATGAAGGTAGTTTCCAAGTTAACAGCTCCTTTTACCTTAAATTCTGTACAGTTTGGAAATTCTGGATCTGAAATCTTCCAAATGATTTGAGTAAAGATGTATGGATTTTAAAAACTCAGTGGCACACTTCCTGTATCACCACATGACATCACAAGGTGGAACAGTGTTTTCTGTTTGAGAGAAAGCCTAATCACCACTAATTTAGTACATACCTCGATTTTGAGGTCACAGGTCGGTTCATTTTCGGTGCAGTTTGGGAACAAAATGCAAAATCATTTGCTTGTTGTTTATTTGTGTGTTTATTAAACTAACAATTGTTTTAACATTAAACAAATGGGGAAATAAAATAAAGGCAAAGTGTTGCTTGGTAATAAGCTAATAATTTAAATAAAATATTCTCAAATAAGCAACAAATTAGTGAAACATTATAAGAATAAATTCCTTGTAAACAGTAAACAAAACTTTTCAAAAAGTAAAGCATAGCACTAACAGTTCCAGCATGAACTTTTACTCAATCTCCAGAAAAAACAACTTGTACCCATTGTCTGCAGTAAGTGCAGATCTGTCCCCAGTGGCTGAAAATACCCTTTCGGGGGGGACAGAGGTCGCAGAGATTCTGTGCTGGCAAAAGGCAAAAGTGAGGACCAGGGCGCAACAACCAAATAGTTTTGTGAGGATTCACGTGGTTTGGAGGGACGTAGTCAAGGCGGGGGGCAACTGTTGTCAAGGCGGCCGCCCTAACTGTAAAGTACTGCAGGAATCGCGTGAACTCTCTTGTGCACTGCCCTGCACCGAACCAAACGTACCGTACCGAAACGATTTGGCATGAATACATGTACGCTTACACCCCTAATAAATCTGCAGAGTTTGTGTGTTAAACATGTGTGAATGAAACAAAACACAACTTCAATTCTGTTTGTGAAGAGGAAACAACATTATAACATAGAACTGAAAAAAGTGTAATATGGGCCCTTTAAAAAAATATAAGAAACCATCAAATCAGATTGCACTACCGCATGTCCACCAGAGAAGCATGAAACTAAGGCATCTGAACTGAAGGAGAGCAGCTTGACAATCTTTTACAGCAAAACAAGATGGTATTTTTATCACTCTTTCTTCTACAAGTTTTTGTTTGAAGTCTTAAATGCTTTCAGACCCCCGGAGCGAGTGTAGAGAAACAATATGAGGACAATTTACACTTTGAGTAATGACTTAAAGGAGACGTATTATGCAAATTCAACTTTAATGGGCTCTTAAACTTATTATAAAGGTGCTTCCTCATCATTAGCTCACTCAAAGTTGTATTTTGAGTCATTCTTGCATGTTGGTGTAACCATGTATTGTCCTGCATTTGAGGTTTAATGCTCAGAAAATTTGTTTTCACCTACAGCCTATCAACGCCCACCGCTCTGTACTGCGATTATTGGAAATGTTGCTCTGAGGAGGCAGTTCAAGCCCATTTCTATTATTAATTGGCCCATATTACACTATTTTCTGATCTATACTATAATGTTGTCATCATCACAAACATGTTTAACGCACAAACCCTGGATATTTAGCAGCTCTGTTCCCCCTTGTGATGTCATGTGATAATATAGGAAGTAGGGATGTAACAATAACCGAAATATCGTGATATCATATCGTTAAAGTTCTCAAAATAACATCATGGATCATCACAATATATTGAATTACAAGTCTTTTTACTTAAATTAAGAGTTATGGTGCAGCAACAGCTAAAAAAAGACAGGGGGAACTACATAGACCATGATTCTTTGCTCCATTTCAGTGAAAACTACATGAAGAAATAACAGTTCTAAGCACTTTTAAGTCTTAGTTCTTTGGATTAAGTCTTGTCAAGGCATTTTAAGAGGAAAAAGTAGCATATTAACAGTTTTAGCTGCCTCCACAAAATATCACAATAAATATCGTACCATGAGATGTATATCGTGAAAATATCGTACTGAGAAATTTGGATATTGTTACATCCCTAATCGTGAGTCTCCCACCATATCGTGAGCTTTCCCACGATATCGCAATAAATATTGTACCGTGAGGTTCACATACTGTGACGATATCGTATCATAAGACTTGGATATTTTTACACCCGTAATAGGAAGTGCTCCACTGTGTTTTTAAACTCCATACACCTTCACTAGAATCATTTGGATCATTTCAACCATGGAATCGTCAGTCTGTACCGAACTAAAGGTGAAAAGTAGTTGTTAACTTGAAACTACAGCTACATGATATCACAAGGTGGAACAGAGCATTTTGAGCTTTGTAGATGTGAAGAGAGTAATAATAAAGGGTTACTAAAAATGTGTGAATGAAACAAAACACAACTCCAGGTCTGTTTTTGATGACGTAACAGCATTCTAATTTGGCTTAAAGCTCACAAGAGTCAATTTTGTGTAATATAGAAACTTAAAACTTCTAAATACAACAACAGTAAATTTTCATTTTACTTTTTGTTGTTATATTTAGAAGCTGAGGACATGAAAACAGCATAATATGTCTCCTTCAGTACTTAGTCATCTAAGTAAAGTAAACCATGAATGAATGCATCTTGTAAAGCATGTCTGCTATGAATGATACAACACAATGGAGATGTTTTACCTGTGTGCTAGAGCAGTGTTTCCCAAACTTTTTTTCTAGGATCCATATTTTAAAAGTCAAACCTTCACAACCCAAGTCAATAGACATTATTCGTAAATCACAAAATAAAGGTGGATTCGACGATTACTGAACATTAATGAGGATATTTGATTGTTGATTGATTGTTGATTGTGTCTCTGAACAATTAGTATTACTCAAGTTTTAAACAATGAAAAACAGTCATTGAACCAGCAATAAAAGGATCCATAAGTCGCCTATTTGGACATTAAATGTAGCCGTGTATATTGCAGATCTACATGCAGATCGTGACAAGGCGACCCAAAAAAGATCTCTTGCGACCCACCTGAGAGTCGTGACCCAGTTTTTGGGAAACCCTGTGCTAGAGCATGTTGATAAAACTGTCTTGCCCCCATACAAAAACAGTGTTTAAGCAGCTCTTTAGGTCAAAATATGTCCACTGTGTACAAATATATAAAGTATCAAGTGTGTGATTAGCATGCTAGTAGTTGTTAGGAATACAGGGAAGGAATACTCTGAAAGTTGTGAAATAGCGCTATGAATAATTAGGATGCTCAGAATGCATAAGGTAAGTGGGGAATTGATACTTTGCATTGACATCACGCTGGGGGTGTTCTGCATGTATGTGAATGGCTGAATGTTCATCTTTTACCATGACACAATGCACACATTAGCACACAATAACACTGCCAAAAATGTTTTTATATCGTCTGGAAATCTTAGAAAAAATATAAAACGGTCCATTTTAGATGTCAGTTGTTTCTGATCAGATTGTGTCGCACTAAAGCTCAGATTAAAGTGTAACAAAGCCTCAGACAGAGCATGCCTACAGTTAGCATCACACCCCCTGTGAACGTAGACGGCATCAGTTGCAAAGTATCATTACATTTGGACCACTGTAAAATGTGCAAAATGAATCAGTTCTGTTTTTAAGACGTTAAAAATCAGCTACAGCGCCTTTTAAATGGAAAAAAAAAATATATTACGCTCATGTTTTGTAAGAGACCTGACCAACACAATGAGGAACATGAGTAAAGTGTGCTACATTTGAACAAAACGACAACCTTGAAAACGCTCAAATGTATTCAGGACGGAAGAGAGAATAATGAACGTTTACATCACCGGCTCTTACGGTTTATTCTGAAAAATCCGTAGGTAAGAGAGGTCCTGGTGACAATAGCAACCAGTCACTTCGTTTTGTAACACTCGTTTTAATGTTATCTATTTTGGGCTGAGAAACAAAGTGCTCCTACAGCTCATTAGCGGTATTACATTTCACAGATGACCTTTGGTGCTTCAGAGATGATTCTAATACAGCTCCCACACACTGTAAGCGTGAGAGGCCACTGATTTCAATTTGCACAAAACACTAAAGAGACAGAAAGGCAAACCACCCACACATCCACAGAATCTGTCAATATCTGTACAGTCTACAGTATATAATGTAGGATTGCAGGTTGTGTGGTTGTGGGAAGTGGAAATCATTGTGATGCATGATCTACTCAGAAGCAAATAATATGGAAAAGTAGAGGGCTTTTATTACACTGTTTTCTGATTTTTGTTCTAATGTTGTTTCCTTATCAAAAACAGACCTGGAGTTGTGTTTTGGTTCCTTCACACGTTTAACAAACAAACCCTGAGGCTGAGACTCAAACTGAATCCGCTCTGTACCACCTTGGGATGTCATGTGGTAATACAGAAAGTGCTCCACTGTGTTTTTAATCTCCACACACCTTCACTAGAATCACTGGGATAATTTCAGTCCTGGAACTGCCGATCTCTACTGAACAAAAAATAAATAAATTACTCAAACGTGTGCATGACCTGTGTGAATGTCCATATCAAATAAATAATTAAAGGTCCTATATTACACAAACGGAATTCTTGTGAGCTCTTTAAGTCAAATTATAATGCTGTTACCCCCTCAAAAACATACCTGGAGTTGTGTTTTGTTTCATTTCATTCACACGTTGGAGTAATTTTTTTATCTACATCTCCAAAGTTCACAGTGACCTGTTCCACCTTGTGATGTCATGAAGCAGTAGTTTTCAAGTGAACAGCTACCTTTTACTCTTTGTCCAGTAGAGATTGGCCAATTCCAGGACAGAAATTATCCCAATGATTCTAGTGAAGATGTGTAGAGTTTAAAAAAACAGTGGAGCACTTCCTGTATTACCGTTATTTTCAGTTTGAGAGAAGAAATCAGCCTAAATTTGCAGGATTTGTGTGTTAAACATGTGTGAATGAAGCAAAACACAACTCGGGGTCTGTTTTTGAGGTGGTAGCAGCAACATGACTTAAAGCTCACGAGAATTCCTTTTGTGTAAGATAGAACCTTTAATTATTTACTCAATATGGGCATTACAGACATATATATATAGACTGATATGGACATATTAGTATAGATAGATTTACCTTGTTGACACATCTACTTAAAAAAATATGCTTCAGATCTCTCCAGACACCAGCTATACCTCATTTTCATTCATCCACTGATCTTAAAGAGGGCAGTTCGATTCCAGCTCCCACAGATGAATGCTGCCTTTGTGTCCTTGGGCAACACAGTTAACCTACCTCGCCCCCAGTGTCTGCATACACTGGAGTATGAGTGTGTGTGTGTGAATGTGTGAGTGCTTCCTTGATGTAAAGCATCTTTGAGTGACTTGAAGGTGGAAAAGAGCTGCATAAAAATTTTACTATTTATTTACCAAAAATAATGTAGGCAGGATTATAATGAGAGTAAATCAAACAGCAGAGGGCAATACTACAGAGGCCGGCCATTTGTTTGGACCTCAAAAGCTTTAGAAACAGATCCGGGTTGAGATCAGGGGCTTATTTTATTCAGGCGTTTGAAGGAAAAAAGATCGGATTTGTAAAAGGGTTAAGTAAATGTAGAAGAGCCCACAATTTACTGGTGATGGCAAAGCTGACTCTCCCGTTTGAGCTGTTTTTTTTTTTTTTTTCTTACTTTTGTTTGCTCTTTGTTTCAGGTGGAGATCGTGGGGCAGCTGAGCGGGCAGATGGTTGATTTGGTCGGAGCGATGGTGGAAACTGTTGGAGAAGAGCCAGAACCGGAGTCGGAGGGATTCACCGAACAACAAGAAGAGGACGAGGAGCTGACCAGGGTACTGAAAACACAAACACACATAACAACACACAGCTGCAAGTTTATTCTATACAAAAATAACAGGGCTGCTTTAAAATGGACTGCAGAAGCTCAGGTTGTGATTCCAGCTCCTATAAATGAATACAGTTGTTGTATCACTGGGCAAGACACTTAGACTACGTTTACATGATGACGGTTAGAACAGAAGACACAAAAGTGGCATCACGTCTTCACTTTTTATTCCGCGTTTAGACGAACATTTTCAGGAGGAAATTTGTGTGCATATGGTGACGTAAAAGTGTGTGGAATTCGATTGGGTATGTTTGTACTTAAAGCAATAAGGGCGTCTTCGGACATACGGAAGTTTTCACGGCACACATTTTCATCAGCTACTCGTCCACAAAGTTGTCCCACTCTCGACTGGTTTTCCAAGTCTCGTCCGTATCCGTCTGGCTCGCCTGCGACGACCTGGTGCATCCAGAATTTGACAGAGGTGATTGCAGATCCTTCTCTGTTCACTAGTATCTCTGCATATTCTACTACTGTACTGTATGTATGTGACGTAAACATGTAGTGACCTGAGCACATCTGACCAGAGTTTTGAATCTTGGGCAGTGTAGACGAAGACGCTACAGTGGAGTATATTCAACTTTTCCACTCTGAAGGGTAGTTTCAGACTTTTGCGTTACCATTACCTTCTAAACGAAAGGTAATAACGATGAAATATTTTGTTGCTTTTACCCGCAAGCGTTACCTTGTAAACAGGCCCTTAGAGTGCTCAAGTAGATCTATGTTATTGCTTTGCCAGGAATGCTCCACAGTATGGCATTAAACTTAATTCAGGGTATCCCCAGGTTTGACTACCCCAAATTTAAGACTTTTTAAAGACCTTTTTAAGACCACTTAAATGAAAATTAAGACCAACATTGCATCCATTATGCAGGCAAAAAACAGCAGATCCAGTTTTGATAATGACCAACCAACTACTATATCTAGAATTTAAGAGCCACTGTGGATCAAACCTCCACTTCCACATGATCCATCCAACGTCCTCCTCCACTCTACTGATTGCCACTAGTGCCAAACCAAAGTATTGTTTGCACATACTCCAATTTAGATGTTCATTCACGTTACATGATTTCACGTTGTTTTGTTTTTCCTCCCTCCATTTAACATTGCACTGCAGACCGGTTGAGTAAACAAAAAAATAGGCTAATGAAATTTAAAACCTTTGTGAAAAAAATAAGACTTGGACAACATAATTTAAGACTTTTTAAGGCCTTAATTTTGGAACATGAAATTTAAGACCTTTTTAAGACTTTTAAGACCCTGTAAATAATTTTACATTTATGACAATAGAGCAGTTTTTGTTGATAAAAAAAACATGACCGTGAAAAACATGCAGTATCATACTATGAGTGGGCTCATCTCTGCTGCACCTCCAGAGTCTGTGTACGCTGGTGTATGAATGTGTGTGTGAACGTATGGTGGTTCTTTGATATAAAACGCTTTGAGTGCCATGAAGTTAGAAAAGTGATAATTTACCTTTAAATCCAAACTGACAGAGCAAGAAACAACCTCAAATGTTTTTGGAGTTCAGACATTTTGTCAGAGAAACTTATTTTGTTGCTGTAACTATGCGTTGTACTTGTGGTTGACTCTTGATCTTTAAAAATTGAGAATCTGAATATTATTTTTAAGGTGAAATAAATGCAAATTTACAAAAGAAATCATTTGTTATGCTGCTTTGATTAACTGCTACTACTAAGATCTAACAAAATCACACGACGCTGCATTGTCTTCATTTTACTGTACACTGTAATCATGTGTGTTAATTTAAAAATGAAAACAGCGGGTTTATACTTGCTGAAAGCTAAAAGTCTTTAAACTACATTGTTCACTCGTGTTGTGTGTGGAGGTGCAGCAGATGTAGGAGGACAGATGGCTGTAGGATGGACGGAGCAGATTTACATATTTATGGAAATGTGGACCAACTTTGGAACGGGCCCCAAAACATTAGCTTAGTGTTTTTGTTTTGTAACATGATAGTGAAACAGTAAAATGAATGATATAATATTCTGTAATTGTGACAGAGCTGAACGATTCTGGAAAAAATATCGAAGATTTTGTGATTAGATTTGAGATTTATGTTTTAGTAATAGGATTCTGTTCATAGTCCACATTTTAAACACGTCCAGAAGAACTGACTGATGAACTGACAAACAAATAGGAGAATCCCATTGCACAGCATGTTTGTACAGATCAGATTAGCAGTGTTTATGCAGAATAAGATGGGAGATTTTGTTGTTTATTAATGTAGACTGTTTAAATGGACATAGCTAACCCATTAGCTGCTGCCAAGTTCCAAATAGGAAGTTAACATGGGTTCACGTCTGGCTCCTTCAACTCTGATTCCATTGCAGTGGTGTAGGTTTGCATAGGGACGGTAGGGACCTGTCACAACCAATATTTGAGGAAGACAAAATAGTCCCTACCAATATTTGACATTTTATTTTAATAAAAACATGCGCAATCAGCGATAGCAACCTGGTCCCCATGAGGCATTGGTGGTTCAGTTCATCACCACAGAAGCAGTTTATGAGGAGTCCAGCCCATATCACATGATCATTATATCCACAATACAATGTGTGTATCTGTACAAACCCATGAACATTTGTGTGATATTGGTCACACAAGAAAATGTCTGTGTTTACTAGTGTGTAACCAAAATGTCATTTTTCATGAGTTGTGTGTGTGTTAGTTGTGTGACTGTAGATCAGTGTGTTGTGTATCACCAGCAAAAACAAGAAATGGAAATTATTTTCATTCCAATTAGAATTTTAATGGCTACACTGAAAGAGAAAGGAACTGTTATAATTAGTGATTATCTGGAAAACTATGAATATTTGACTATACAAATGCATAGAATTATAAATAGCTCATAATTTTTCTGAGATTTTGAGACACTCCCATTGCTCGAGTTCGATCCTTCGCGGAGTTATGACCAGAAACACATATTTGACCTTGGTTACCTTGACCTTCAAGTGACCTTGACCAGTTTCAACCTGTAACATCCAGTGTACCTTGGTTATGTGTGTGCCAACTTGTGTGATGATTGGGTGAATATTTTAGGCTGCAGATTCAGGTTCAGAAATAGTTGAAATTGCCTAGCCTTTTAATGGTGTGACCATTCAATTGACCCGTGTGACCTCAAATGACCTCGGATCGTCACCAAACTTTTTTTTGCTGCATCGGGCAAGGGGGCTTGACCCACGTACCAAATTTGGTGACAATCAGTCCATAAATGGCGGAATTATCGCGTTTCGACAGACACACACAGACACACAGGGTGAATACAAAACCTGGTCAACCCTTCGGGGACCAGGTACAAATATACATTTATTCAGATATTTTTCCAAACACAGTAGTATTAATTGAACGCGTTTTAGTTCACATATTGGTTATTAGACGTTCTGAGATGTATTCAGTGATATGATGACAGGGTTACTCCTGCTGCTATTTCATTGGCTGCAGCAAAGTGATGTCATTAGTGGAGCCAGGAGTCTAAACTGGGGAAGCGGTAGGACGGCGCTTCACCCGAAGACGGCGGCTTGAGCAGGCGTGAGTGAAGACGCTGTGCACCAAACTCTGAAAAACTTTTCAAAATGAACTTACTTGGTTTCATCTTCAAATAAACTTGCCTTATAATGAGTCACAGCGGAAAAAGAGCGACTATCACCCAAAGTGCACCTCCCAAACGGAGCCCTACTTGTGCTCTGTTAGCAGCCGGACTGTACTGTCAATATTCCATGGAAAAATGTCTGGACATGACCTCACAAATATCTCATCACCAACAAGCAAAGAGAAATCTGCTATTTACTATATACTGTTATTTATAAAGGATCAACTTTGAAGGGCAATGGACACAAACTGTACATTTTGCAAACTGAAAAATGAAACCACCTCTCACTTATTCAGCAGTTGTATTATTTATTTTGAGAGCAAGTATTTTATAGCCTAACGTTCTTTGTTATCTGGAATGTTTTTCTGTTGCAAAAGAGTCCAAAATGTTCTTAAAATTAGAAAAAAAAAAGGAAAAAGTAAAGTGTTGAAGTATTCAGCATAGTGTGTCTGTGTGTAACTGCTGCAGTGAGCCTTGTCATTTTCGCCTTAAAATGTTCGTATTAACCCGCTTTACGTGATCCTCGTGTTTTTATTTCACTATTTTGTCCGTAGATAAGTTCTCTAGCCTCATGAGCCTCATTTGAGTGGAGCTGAACACTGTGGGTGACCTCACACTCCCTTAGTCCACTTCTTTGTACAGAGTGTTTATGAAGGAAATGATGGTACTTCAAAAAGTGCACCGTTTGTGATTTGCTAATTGCGTCCATTCAAACAGTGATTTCGATTCATCTTGCGGCCTCAGTTCTGGAGGTGTTGAGGATGTGAGACTTTATAAAGAGATTCAGAAAAGTCTAAAGCTGAATACAGTGATGGATAATGACAACCAGCGCTGTCAACCTGTCAACTATTGTGAAACTGATAATTAGGTGCTCATCAGAGACGTGACAAGTTTTGGCTCCACAGAATCTTACTGGATGATGTGGAGAAAAAACTAAAACTTGAAACGCTGCATTTCACAGTCAGATGCAGATGGAGAAAATATTCTGGTATGACACAAAATCCAGGGTCCAAAACTATTACTAGTACTACTGCTATGTGTATGTCTTTTGTCTACAGAGTTTGTAGTAACTGATAATGTAATAACAACCAATAACATTATCATTTTGCCCAAGTTTAAATCTAATAAACCCATAATGTAATAACTGGCCATTAATTCAATAACTGTGGTGAGCCAGTAATGTGATAAGTCAGTGCTTCTCAAACTTTTCACACCAAGTACCACTAAATAGGTAAGCACTGATTCAGCTTTTTCGGTTCCAATACCAATTCCGATACTATAGCTTTAAGGATGTTCCATTACCCGATATTAACCGATACCAGTGCTGGCACCAGAGA